GCAAATTCGGCTCCTGTTAATTTTACTTGGACGTAGTGTTATGGATACCAAAGGTGTACCATCTGTCAACACGCTGTCAACAAATCAAGTTAAGTGTTCTTTCCGAAACCCGTTTATCATTCATTTATGGCCATTAATGTCAGGATATAGGGTTAGCCGGTTAGAACGCGAAATCGCCTCATACTAAAGGTAATTAAGCCAGGTCTTTAATGTTCCATGTACTGTATAGTGTTTTCTCTGATATACTTGTCATATATAGGATTCTGGCTTCACAGCTAGCGCACTTTTGACAGGTCAAGACGAGGATGCAAGATTATGTGCACCAGTTACTGGGTGATATGGAAGCTGCCTCAAAGAGGATAATTTGGTGTCTACACCCTAGTTATACCTGGTGGACTAACCTGCTGTACTATAAGATAAGGAACCTCAACAATGTATGTAGCTATTACTGTAGTTTGATTGGCTGCATATATATTAATATAATAAACCCCCCTAATGTGTAGAGGATCGATTTGTGAGATTGAGATTATTGCAGAAATACAGTCCACTTATCATTATACAAATTGCTATCGAAGTATATAAATTAACGTAAATATAAATTCATATAAATTAAATAAATATAAATCTCACAGGTCGGTTCCCACAACAGACCAATCCTGAAGTATGCGGCTCCAGCATGGAGTCCATATACCTAGTTAAGCATAAGACATATTTGAAGAAGGTAATAGCCACGGGATTAGTTCCAGAACTCCGAGGTATAAATTATGAGGAAGGGCTGCGTGAATTGAACCTCACGTTGCCGGACGACAGAAGAGTTAGGGAGGAGACATGCTTACCATATACAAAATTCTCAAGGGAATTGACAGGATAGATAAAGACAGACTATTTAATACGGGTAGTACTCGCACAAGGAAACACAAGTGGAAAATGCGTACCCAAATGAGCCACAGACACATTAGAAAGAATTTTTGTCCAGTGTCAAGGTTAGTTAGCAAATAGCAAGCATTAGACGGTGATGTGGTGGAGGCTGACCCCATACTCCATACACAGTTACAAATAATAGAACCCAATAGGCTCAGGAAGGGAAGGGAACTATCAGGGGGGGGGAAGCGCCAAGCCATTACGACTAATCCTTGGAAGGGATTAGGATAAGGATTTGATGATTGACAAGAGAGGTTCAACTAAAGTTTGGCATCATAACAATCTTTCATAGAACAGTATAGCATGTAAGAGTTAGAAAAAAATATAAAGGGCCATTCGTCATTAGATTATTTCCCAAATTCTTGTCTGGTTTTGTGGCAGGGGGACGTGATGGGGGTGAGACAGAGGCAGGGGGACGTGGTGGGGGTGAGACAGGGGCAGGGGGACGTGGTGGGGGTGAGACAGAGGCAGGGGGACGTGGTGGGGGTGAGACAGGGGCAGGGGGACGTGGTGGGGGTGAGACAGGGGCAGGGGGACGTGGTGGGGGTGAGACAGGGGCAGGGGGACGTGGTGGGGGTGAGACAGGGGCAGGGGGACTGGGGTGGGGGTGAGACAGGGGCAGGGGGACGTGGTGGGGGTGAGACAGGGGCAGGGGGACGTGGTGGGGGTGAGACAGGGGCAGGGGGACGTGGTGGGGGTGAGACAGAGGCAGGGGGACGTGGTGGGGGTGAGACAGGGGACAGGGGGACGTGGTGGGGGTGAGACAGGGGCAGGGGGACGTGGTGGGGGTGAGACAGGGCAGGGGGACGTGGTGGGTGTGAGACAGAGGCAGGGGGACGTGGTGGGGGTGAGACAGGGGACAGGGGGACGTGGTGGGGGTGAGACAGAGGCAGGGGGACGTGGTGGGGGTGAGACCGGGGACAGGGGGACGTGGTGGGGTGAGACAGAGGCAGGGGGACGTGGTGAGGGTGAGACAGGGGACAGGGGGACGTGGTGGGGGTGAGACAGGGGCAGGGGGACGTGGAGGGGGTGAGACAGGGGCAGGGGGACGTGGTGGGGGTGAGACAGGGGCAGGGGACGTGGTGGGGGTGAGACAGGGGCAGGGGAACGTGGTGGGTGTGAGACAGAGGCAGGGGGACGTGGTGGGGGTGAGACAGAGGCAGGGGGACGTGGTGGGGGTGAGCCAGAGGCAGGGGGACGTGGTGGGGGTGAGACAGGGGACAGGGGGACTTGGTGGGGGTGAGACAGGGGCAGGGGGACGTGGTGGGGGTGAGACAGGGGCAGGGGGACGTGGTGGGGGTGAGACAGGGGGCAGGGGGACGTGGTGGGGGTGAGACAGGGGGCAGGGGGGCGTGGTGGGGTGAGACAGGGGGCAGGGGGACGTGGTGGGGGTGAGACAGGGCAGGGAGACGTGGTGGGGGTGAGACAAGGGCAGGGGGACGCGGTGGGGGTGAGACAGGGGCAGGGGGACGTGGTGGGGGTGAGACAGAGGCAGGGGGGACGTGGGTGGGGGTAAGACAGAGGCAGGGGGACGTGGTGGGGGTGAGACAGGGGCAGGGGGACGTGGTGGGGGTGAGACAGAGGCAGGGGGACGTGGTTGGGGGTGAGACAGAGGCAGGGGGACGTGGGGGGGGTGAGACAGAGGCAGGGGGACGTGGTGGGGGTGAGACAGGGGCAGGGGACGTGGTGGGGGTGAGACAGGGGGCAGGGGACGTGGTGGGGTGAGACAGAGGCAGGGGGACGTGGTGGGGGTAAGACAGAGGCAGGGGGACGTGGTGGGGGTGAGACAGGGGCAGGGGGACGTGGTGGGGGTGAGACAGAGGCAGGGGGACGTGGTGGGGGTGAGACAGAGGCAGGGGGGACGTGGTGGGGGTGAGACAGAGGCAGGGGGACGTGGTGGGGGTGAGACAGAGGCAGGGGGACGTGGTGGGGGTGAGACAGGGGCAGGGGACGTGGTGGGGGTGAGACAGGGGCAGGGGAGGACGTGGTGGGGGGTTGAGACAGGACAGGGGGACGTGGTGGGGGTGAGACAGAGGCAGGGGGACGTGGTGGGGGTGAGACAGAGACAGGGGACGTGATGGGGGTGAGACAGGGGCAGGGGAGGACGTGGTGGGGGGTGAGACAGGGACATTTCTTCACACCCATCTCTTGAATGGGCTCATTTTGGCCTCTTTACCTCTTCCTTGAATCTTGTTTAAAAACAAATGGAATTCTCCCTGCTTTATTATCACCTTTGAGAGTTATGACACAGCTCTCTCTCTCTCTCTCTCTCTCTCTCTCTCTCTCTCTCTCTCTCTCTCTGTCTTAGCTTTCCTGTCTTTCTCAACAATTCATCTCCCACTTTTAGCTTTTTGTAGGTCTCTCCTTCCCGTATTATATTCTGTCGTTCCTCTGTGTTATTGTGTCGTACTTCGCTGTGTCAAGTGTCGTATTTGCTGTAACTTGTGTTGTGTTGTGTCGTATGTACTGTGTCTCACGTGTTGTGTCATGTATGTGCCGTGTTGTGTCGTGTGTAATGTGCCGGGTGTGTTGTGTCATGTGAGATATATCGCGTGCCTTTTTTTGGTGCGTGTATAAAATAGTAACCCCGTGCATAATCTCATAGAAAATGTATTCCGTGTCATGAAAGTTTCATCAAAAGGTTTATTTGAGTGATGAGAGCGCTGCGCCCTGGAGCTTTCTGATGCTCCCAGGAGCTTTCTGATGCTCCCAGGAACTCTCTGGTGTTCCCCGGAGCTTAACGGTGCTCCCCGGTGCTCTCATGTGTTCCCCGGAGCTCCTCGGTGTTCCCGGGAACGTGTAGCAGCCTTTGTGAACCACCAATTTGGCTCCAACGCGAAAATAGTCAAGGTATTTTAGCGTGTGATGGACGAGTGTCCCCGCCATGTTGCAACAATAATCCGCTAGAGAAAGTTATTATTTATGTTGTGGTTTGTGGTGGTGGCAGAGGGCGCAGCGCCCCTGGCGGCAGAGGGCGCAGCGCCCCTGGCGGCAGATGGTGCAGCCCCCCTGGCGGCAGAGGGCGCAGCGCCCCTGGCGGCAGATGGTGCAGCGCCCCTGGCGGCAGATGGTGCAGCGCCCCTGGCGGCAGATGGTGCAGCCCCCCTGGCGGCAGAGGGCGCAGCGCCCCTGGCGGCAGATGGTGCAGCGCGCCTAGCGGCAGATGGTGCTACTCTTATAGCTGCTGCTGCTGTTGCTGCTGCTTCTGGTGCTACTGCAGTTGCTACTGCTACTGTTGAAAAAATCAGTAAGAGCCATGAGGAAGATACGAACCTGCACACTGGGTACTCCTCCTCAAGCACTCGCCATGAACCACTAAGCCACGAGCAATGTAACCTGGGATTCAGCTGAATCCTCTACGGTTCCTGAGGCATATATTCTGATCCCAAATTAGGGCTTTACACCGTGCCCGCCTGCACTCTGACTGTCACTAATAGGTAAATACTGATAGGTACGTACTTCTACAGCTGCTGCTACTGCTACTGATTCTCGAGGCGCGTACAGAGCCTCTTGAAGAATTTAAAAAAGGTCCTGTAAGTGCCCCGACAAGGAGCTCC